GAGGAAGCTGCTCTTCTGCATGAAGAAGCCACAATGACCATTGAGGAGCTTCTCACCCGTTACGGACAAAACTGCACCAAGAACCTCAAGAACAAGCCTTTAGCTGCAGCTGGGGAGAGCGCTGCGGAGGGGACAGGCAAGCAGCACGATGGGGAGTCAAACGTGAACGGAGAGGCTGACCCAGGGGAGCTTACCGACCACAAGGAGACGAAGAACGGGAAGCCAGATGAAGAAATCACGGGTATTTCCTCCACCTCAGACAAAGCCAGCACTGGAGGCAACAGCCCTGCTCTGCAGAAGCCTGACCTAGGCAAAGGTGACGAGGCCGTCACCTCTTCTACTGGGGAGGCCGGGCCCTCCTGCTCCTCCACGGGAAAGCCCCAGCGCACAACCAAATCCAAATTTTTTGAGGACAGTGAGGATGAGTCAGATGAGGTTGAGGAAGAGGAGGAAGACAGTGAGGTAGGAACCAGCACTGGGACAGAGTGGCCTTCTGGCTGGGCAGACGCGTGGCTTACTGCGGTACCGGGAGCCTCTGGCTCGTCCTAGGTGTGTCCGGGGAGCAGGTTTTCAGGCTGATACCGAGAGACCATCTCATGGGAGTGTCGGGGATGGTTCAGATAACCCTGAAGGAAACATCCCCTCATCGGGCAGCGGCTGTGACGGCTGGCCCTTGCTCTCACGGCACACACCACCCTCCATTCACTGTTAGGTGGAACTGGCTGCTCTGATCATAGGCATCGGGCGTGGGGGAAGCGTGCCAGGTCATCTCGCTCTTCTGGGGTGAACGGATTGGAGGTCCTCCCTCAGGGCGGAGAGACCAGCTGTCTGAGGAGGGTGCTGAGAGCGTCCTGGGTGACCCTGGGGGTATCTCTCATTTCCTGCAAGGATGGTTACAGCAGTGAAGAGGCAGAGAATGAAGATGATGAAGATGATACTGAAGAAGCAGAGGAGGATGAGGATGAAGAGGAGGAAATGTTGTTACCAGGCATGGAGGGGAAAGAGGAGGTGCACACCCTGTTCTTGTGTTCTGCAGCGTAGCACGGGGCCGAGGGCGCTTGGGGGGCCTCCGCAGGGAGTTACTGCCGTTCGGATGGGGAGAAAACGTCCCTTTTGTTCTCCTGAGGCTGAGCACAGCTGCTGGCAGCCCAGCTTCCTGCAAAGGGCTGAGGGATAGGGCACAGGTCTGGGCAGCAGGTTGAGATCGAAAGAGGCTGACCGTGCTGCTGGGTCTGCTGGCGTGGAAGGGAGCGCAGGACAGTGACAGGACTGCTCTGCTGCGCTGCCGCTCTCGGGCAGAGCCTCACTCTGTGGCTCCTCAGCCCACGGCAGCACTGGCAGGTGGGACAGGGACTCAGGATGCTGGGAAAAGGGGATACAGCTTCCAGGGTGCCAGCCTTCCCTCTTCGGAGAGATGTCCTGGCTGTAGCGAGGCTTCTACTGGAGCTGGGCTGGGGTGTGTGCTTATGGGAAAAGGGGGGAGACGCAGCACCAGAGAAAGGAGTCTCAGCAAAACTGTTTGTTTCTTGCAGCCTGGTTCTGACAGCGGGACAACTGCTGTCGTGGCGCTTATCCGGGGCAAGCAGCTGATCGTGGCCAACGCTGGAGACTCTCGCTGTGTGGTGTCCGAAGGTGGCAAAGCTGTCGACATGTCCTACGACCACAAGCCGGAGGATGAGGTGGAGCTGGCCAGGATAAAGAACGCCGGTGGCAAGGTGACCATGGATGGGAGAGTGAACGGCGGCCTCAACCTCTCCAGGGCGATCGGTGAGCAATGCAGGGGAGCGTTGGCGTGCCGGGCCTCGGAGTGCTGCGCTCAGGGCATCCACACTGCCAGCACCTGCCAGCCGCTACGTGTGAGGAATGGTCTTTAACTGGATGACACTGACCTTACTCAGTGTTTGATGTGGTGGGATTTCAAGCTCATTAGAGTACTGGCAGACACCAGAGGAAAGCAGCACCCAGCACCTGCCAGGCTCCAGCTCAGGACAGACTGTGAAGCCTGCAGGGCTGTTGTGTGAACTCAAAACCGGACTGTTGACTTTTGAACAGGGTTTTTTCCTGTTAAGAGGCTGTTGAAGGACCTTGGTGTGTTGGTTCCTGGGGACCTAACTTTATACCAGTCTGAGCTCATTTTTTCCAGAGCCAGCCGTGCCTTTAACCACACAAACTCCATCCCTCTTGCTGCTTCAGGCAGCACTGACTGCTGTCTGTGCTCATCTTTTGGTCTCTTATGAGCAGTTTTGGTGTAATTAATGGCTCGAGAGACTGGGCATGTCTCTTAGCCACCAAACAGGGTCTTGGGCCAGTCAGTAGCTACAGTCTGAGCAGCTGAGATGCTGGGAGGCGTTAAGGGAAGGGTCGTGAATAACACTGGAATAGACTGGGAAACACACAGAGAAGGGAAGGAAACATCAGCAGCTAAGGGTGTGATGGAGAGCACTTGTGCAGAAAGACCAAAGACACAAAATTATTATCCTAAAGAGATAAAAACACATTTAGGATGGAAACCAGGAGTCCGATTATCTAGAGAGACTCTGGCACTTCCACCTACGATTTTGCAGTGGAAGTCCCTTCCTAGGATGTAATTCCAGTTACACCTGCTAGTCAGAGCTGAGGTTCCGTTTTCTCCAATGAGCTTTAGCTTAGCACAGCCCAGCAGCGTGATGTGGGCATTGCACTGAGTTAGCCGGCCCTGGACAGCCTGAGCTTCTGGAAAATGAGCCTCTAGTGTTACCACAGTGAAGCCAAGGTAGCACTGGGGGAGCCACAGATCCCGCTCCAGGAGATGGGTCGCTCATCCCGTGAGCACTGCTGCGGGATCCTGGCCAGTGTCAGATGCCGTGTGCCGTGGGCCTGGTGTTGCCGCAGGACCTGGGGAGGTTTGGGGTGAAGAGATGCTGAGCTGGCAAAGGCGCCTCTCTCGTGGTTTGGTAACAGCGCGTTGGGCTCAACAGAGCTGTGCCCTGGACGCGCGGCAGATCTCTCTGTCCGATGCACCCACAGCCGGATCTGCTCTGGTTGGGGGAGCACCAGCGCTGATTCTGCTGCTGTTGCGCTCGCTGTTCAGGGCGAGGCAGCATTGCCAGGGCCCAGCCACAGCAAAAACCGATCCTGCTCTCCACTGCAGGCGACCACTTCTACAAGCGTAACAGGAACCTGCCTCCAGAGGAACAGATGATCTCTGCTCTGCCTGACATCAAAGTGCTGACAATAAACGATGACCACGACTTCATGGTCATTGCCTGCGATGGGATCTGGTGAGTGGTGAGGGAGTGGTTCTGCCTCCTGGGCATCACGACGGGTGTTTCTCTGGAGCTGGGCTTCAGGAAGGCCCCAGGGCCTTGGGTGATAATCGGGGGTGGGGGGGGATGTCACGGTGTGCTGAGCTCCAAACCCTCCTCTTCCTCACTGCACGCAGCCTTGTTCCCATCACTCCCTGCCCCAGCCAGGCTCTCGGGACACTATGGCACGGCTGCTCCCTTTGCTTGCCCTTCTCACCTCTCCACTCTCCTCAGGAATGTGATGAGCAGCCAGGAAGTGGTGGATTTCATCCAGTCCAAGATCACCCAAAAGGATGAGAATGGCGTCCTGAGGCCACTCTCCTCCATTGTCGAAGAGGTAAGGTCCAGACGTTCCCCATCCCTTCAGCACGCGGCGTTTCTGCATCCCTGCCTGGTGCCTGACCCTGCCCTGCCCTCCCTCTCCATCACACCGGCTGGTTCGGCACTTGGGGTTCTCCCTGCGGCACGGGGGGTGTCTGGCAGCACGTGGGCTCACCACTGGCTGGAACAGGAGCAGACACGCCTCTGACCTGGGACCCAGTTCCCTCAGCACCCTGACCAGTGTTTCTGGCCTCGAGGTTGCTGTCAAGCCGCAGGAGTTTCTGTCCCCTTTCAGCAAAGCAGGGCTGCTGAGGCTGGGTCTGTCCCTGGTCTGGTTTGAGCACAGGCCACGCTGTTCTGGCCTGGAGCCCCTGAGCCGCTGCCCGTTGCTGGAACAAGCTGAGTGCCTCAGGATGTTCACAGCGCCGTGTCTGTGCTCTCTGCTGAGGGCTGAGTGTCTCAGGATGTTCACAGTGCCGTGTCTGTGCTCTGCTGAGGGCTGAGTGTCTCGGGATGTTCACAGTGCCGTGTCTGTGCTCTCTGACCTGTCCCGTCCTGTCCCTCCGCAGCTGCTGGATCAGTGCTTGGCTCCGGACACCTCGGGGGACGGTACCGGCTGCGATAACATGACCTGCATCATTATCAGCTTCAAGCCCCGTAATACACACCCGCCTGCTGAAAGCGGGAAGCGGAAACTGGAGGACGTGGCGGCAGCGGCAGCACCAGCAGAAGAGAACGGTGGCGATAACAACAAGAAGGCCAAGCTGGAATAGCAGCCCTGGTGCAGGGACTGTGCTCACCAGACTCTCGTTTCTTAAACATGCTGAACTCAAGACTCCAAGGTCTTGTCCTTTTTTTAGCCTTAGCAGAGGCCTTGTTTGTCCATGTCCTGGTCGGGGGTTGGGGGCGGGTCGCACTGTTCATCCGTAACCATTCCAAAGAGGGAGCCGAGGGCGGAGGTACCAGCGGGAGCAGCCACCGGCCGCACCAGAGGCCCTGCAGCAGCAGCCGGGG